TTTGAATTTATTGACGTCCAGCCTGAACCATATTTGATTTGAGAGCTGCAGAGGAGGTGAAGATTATCAGTGAAAATAGTGTCCTTTTTGGAGCTTGACAGGCTGTGGCAACAATGAACTTTTGGTGTGTAAAAAAATTAAGGAAACAAGAAGAAAATGAATTTATCCTACTAAGAAACAAAATAAAACTGTATTTAAAAAATAAATAAATATGAGTTTGGAATGCTGGATCTCATCTAATCTCAGAAGCTATGCAGGGTTTGGCTTGGTCAGTACTTGGATGGGAGACTGCCTGGGAATACCAGGTGCTTTATCCTCGGGTGGCATGTTGGCTCAGTGTTAACCTTCACAGCAAGAAGGTCCCTGGTTTAAGTACCAGCTAAGTCAGGAAGCCTTTCTGTGTGGAGTTTGAATGTTCTGCCTGTGCTCTGTGATGGACTGACCATCTGTCCAGGGTGTTTCCCTGCTTTTAACCCAAGATGCTGGGGAGGCTCCAGCATCCCCATTACCCTACATAGGACAAACAGTTTGGAGAATGGATGGATGGAGCTTGGAATAACATTAGGGTGAGTAAATAATGAAAGAATTTTAATTTTTAGAGTGAATAATGATTTCTTTTTCTTTTTATATATTTCTATGCAAATAAATACAATACATGTAATTTATCTTGCAAACTGTTTGCAAGTCACCTTTGTGCGTGTGTTGTATCATAATAAGTGTTCTGGCACAATAAAACAGAAAGCCAAGAAGAAAAAAAAAAGAATTACATTTCTGTGCCTGCTGACATACTATTAATAGAAACTGTTTACAATTACCTTTAAATAAGACACGTCTGTTGCATTCAGCCATGTCCGGGAACTACTTTGGAAACTATGTGCTGTTGGAGTGACAGAAGAAAACCAAAAGGGGGAGAGTCCCTCTGCACTCTGCCAGCAACAGGCCGGGGAGAATGAAAGAAAAAGCTAGAGAGACAGATGAGTGACTTTGAATGTGATTGACTGCAAGGACAGAAAGCTCTTTTTTTTCTCTTTTGCAGCCACAGTCACAGGAGAGGCATGTCAGAGTGCTGTGCGCAGGCCTTTATAACTGCTTTATAAACCACACACCAAGACACATTTTAAAATCATTTATTATCATTTCTAGGCATGAAACAAAGGAAGTATCACTTCTTTACAAAATGTTTATGTGTTGTGTTTGTGAAAAAGGAAGATCAGGGACTGATAAACTACATGTAGAGCATCACTCAGTTGGAATAAGAAGAGGAAAAGAGAGGCAGAAACCTCTCATGCACCTGTGGGACACAACTGCACGTTGTGTTTACTTGGAACACGCACAACACCACAGGACACTTGGACTTTACGTACTCTATACATTTTCACCGCTCATTTTCCTCACTCGTGAGAGATATGGCCGTCATGCACTCATTATTTTTGAGGGGGCACGATTTTTTGTGGTCGTCATGTGACACACAACAGCTACAACAGCACTTAGCCTATGTTTTATTTATTTTTTCCTTTTTATTCGAAACATTCCCAAACGCATTAACTATATCTCTATAGTGGGCGATGGTCAAAGTAACCTAATAATGTAATCTATTCTCTATGCATAAAAACCTGTCTGTTTACTTAATTAACAGATATCGATGTCATGCCATAACATATTTTTTATTACAACTGAGTTTAAATTTAATGTGAATTTAACATTGAAAGTTAATGTTAAAAAAACATTGCAAGTTAGGCTACTAATCATAACACTTTCATTGTACAGAAAGAGAGCAAAGAACATTTACATGATCAAAGAACATTTTCACTGAGTCTAGTTCAAGCACTCTCAAAAACTCCCATTAAAATCACTGAAGCTGTTTACGACATTTACACCATGAAATCAATATCTTACAGATTCGTACACACATTTGCACTTTGTTGTTTCTGACGAGAGAATTCACCAGAAAGAGGTATTCAGTCAGCGAGCGTGAAGAAAACACTGGCATTTTAGCGATGACTCATCTGAACACCTCTGATTGGTCATTGCATTCATAAGCTCAACAGCATCGTGTGTGATTGGTTAATGCGCAGTGCTGTAAAAACGCGTCTGTCTCTGGCTCAGCGCCAGCCAGCGATCACAGATTTGAATTTAGCAGCTGATGATATGACGCATGCACGGAACGTTATAATCACGCCGGTGTGATTGTATTAAATATAGAAAATATTAATCGGCTATTTTTTGTCTTTTGGAAGCTGAATTAAAAATCCACTTGGCTCAAAAATCACTTTGAATGGGCATGACGCCTCTGATTCCACACCCACTGAATTCTGAGTTTGACTTAAAAGGGATAGTTCATCCAAATATGAAAATTCTTTAATTTATTCATCCTCATGTCATTCCAAACCTGTATGACTTTCTTCTGTAGAACACAAGATAATTTGAAGAATTTTTCAGTTGTTTTTGTCTATATTAAGAAAGTCAGTGGGGTTTAAAACAACACTCAATTCTACTGACTGTCATTGTATGGACAAAAAAATATTTTCAGAGAAAGTCTTTGAGTCTCAAGTTTTACTTAAGACTTAAGTTGTTCTAAAACTTTTTTAGAACAACATGAGGGTGACATAATATTCCTTTTTGGATGAACTATCCTTTTAATGCCCTTTAGAATGTTTTCGACAAATCAGGTCTAACCAATGGAATGGAAAGGTATAGGGTGACACGTAGAATGCAACATTTTTAGTGACATCCATGGAAGGGATGTTTTACACAATGGAATTGTCCAATCAGAGACCTGCAGAGCCGTGATACATGAAAATCAGAGTACTTCTTTTAGACATCTACACACTACCTCCTACATATGCATGACCACACTAGCACAGATAGACACTATGGGAGCGTAACTCTATAGCATGCAATGACGATGCATCATTACTTTAGTGTATACATTTTTTAAAGCACTTCGAGCAAGGGAAAAATGCTATATTAACTAAATTACTATTCCATTGGTGTAGTCTTCAGCATCGATTAAATCAAAACGACCTGTAACGCGGCTATCTTGCTATCAAAAAAGATAGCAGTTGGGTACCACTAGACAGCATTGAGTCCATTCTGATAGAAATCTCTGTGCACTCCCTTAAATTGCATCTGAATTTAATACCACTTAAAAAGGAACAGCAATTACCAGCCAGCCGGGGAGAAAAAGGACATTGCTAATTGCATTGAAATGACAGCTATCCAATGGAGTTTCTTTCTAACACACTGACACACACAAACATACTCACATGCACTTTTACAAACACATACAGGCCTCCTGATGTTGCCAATGATGAATAACATCTATAATCTCTCATCATAAATACCATATTGCACCCACATACATACAACACAAGCATCAACACACAAAATACAAAAGCAGACAGTAATCATGTCATGATCCAAGACTAATATCAGTGGCAGTGTCCTGAAGTGACAGTGTCCTGTCTGGTTCAGCTCAGCTACCAAATCTGACCTCAGAAGACTACAGAGGGTAGTCCGGACTGCTGAGCGAATCATTGGTACAACCCTCCCTTCTCTCCAAGAACTGTACTTATCCAGAGTGAGCAAAAGGGCTGGCAAAATCACTCTGGACCCCTCACATCCAGCACACTCCCTCTTTGAACTGTTACCATCTGGTCGACGCTACAGAGCTCTGAACACCAGAACGGCCAGACACAGGAACAGTTTCCTCCCTCAGGCAATCCATCTCATGAACACTTAACAATAACTGTGGAACACACACTATTTATTCACTCATTCACTCATACACTTATTTATCTAACACTCATACTCAGTCTACACCTCAAATTTGCACATAATATACAGTACCTGTACATACAAAACTGTCTATTGTAATATACCTGCACATACAATTGTCAATTTATATATTTTTATTCCTTATTTACTTGTTCTATATTTTTTTATTTTTTTATTTTTTTTTATTATCTGTGTTTTTTGTTCTGTCACTGTCATTCTGTTACACTGTGGAAGCTTCTGTCACGAAAACAAATTCCTCGTATGTGTAAACATACCTGGCAATAAAGCTCATTCTGATTCTGATTCTGAAGGGTAATGAATATCTTAAGAATGATCTTCTGCTTTAAGACACTGTGATGATTCAGGGAGTGACCAGCAGAAAATTGATTTTGCCTGGAAACCTGTGTAATGTGCATTACCGGGATGCACTTAAGTGTGACATCATTTGCTGGAGACGAAAGTAAGGGCATGTGAAAGCAAGCTCACGCCTAACAGCCAATGGGATTGGCTGATGGGACCATGAGATTTATGCTACGCTAGGTTCGTAGGTTTTGTATTGTATAAAAGAGGATTAAAACCCTGTTGTGTCTTCCTGTGAATCGTTGTGAGAAACTAAAGAATCTGGAACTTGAAGACCAAACTACAGAACCTCACAATACATACTTGAAAACAAGTTGTTATTATGCATGTGTACATGTACTGTATGAGTGTCTGCACATTTTTATATTGCTTAGATGTTCTTCATACCGACTCTCTCTCTCCAAACAGAGTGAGGGGGTGGGGGTTTAACTTTAAAGTCCGCGTGAACCGGAAGTTGCTGCCGGCTTTATTTCAGTGTAGTGACGTATTTCCAGCTGAAACGGAATATTGAATAGAGGGCATGGTTTTATGTTTGCGCTCCTCCTCTCTGTCTCTCACTCATGGCAATCTAACGGTTAGAGGGGTGTGTTTAAGGATATTCTGCCCAAACCGTCAAACTGACGTCATCAGAAAAGGAATGCCATTCCAGAGTAAATGTTCAGATTTTGATTAAAGATTACGAAGACAAACAATTTTTTTCAGCGGATTAACTTGCACGGATTAATTGTTCACATCATTACTAGCAATGTGCACTAGTAAAGTAAATAAAGTCAATTTTGATTTCATGCGGACTTTAAAGGTGGACTCAGTAATTTTTTTTAAAGTTAGCTCATTAAGTTTACTGCTAAATAAACTAGTAACACTTTTGAAATATGTTTTAATATCAGCCCAAACAGCTGTTTTATTTTACATGGAGTGGGTAACCTCATGGGTGCCACCATGTTGAAATCACAAGACTAGCCGAATACTACTTTATCTATGAGACCCCTCCCATTAATAGACACATTCATTCATTAAATAAATTGATAAGGGCCGACTGCAAACAGAGCATTTCTACAGTGGTACGGGTAACCTAAAATTATTGCTTTTGCATTATTCTACCTCCACACCACTAGGTGTCAGTGTAGGTCCAAGACCAGTGTCCAATCGACCAGTGCAACAAACAAAAATGACTCAGTGCATCTTTAACATCACAAAATATTATTCAGATTTGCTCATAAGCCATTTTGAGTCGGATTTATTTACTATGATCCATTTTGGTCACAAAATCTGTTTTGTCAGGGATATATCATCATTTTTTTACGTTTTAATGCTACAGTGCTCCTAGGGTTATAACATCTAGAGTTTGTGATATTTACATTATGAGATGTGACACTAAGACTATATGGCTTTCAAGTGACATTCCCTTGCACTGATATTAAAACATCTGTTAAAGGCTGAGGAGGAATAAGACCATTTTCAGAGGTTTCTGGGATAGGCATTGCCAAATATCTGAGTTTTGTAAACCTTTGATTGCATTTCAAACCTTGTGCTTTGCCAAAAATCTACTTTTTTATTTAATGTCAACATACCTTGCAATGTTGTTTAATTGGTGGTTTAGTACTTCAGTCAGGCTTAAATGTGAGGTAGTGATCATCTTCGGTTAGAAAATCTACCCACAAACCTCCAGTCTGTCAGATCTGCCAACACTTTAAGATGGTGATACGAATATCGAGTTAGCTACCATCCCCATGACTCACTGTGATTTAACATCAGCTCCCACAGATAGTGTGGTAGGAGCAGGTTCCTGGACTCATACAACATTAACAGGCAGTGTTTAGGTTTTACGGGAGGCACCAGGAATATATGTAAACTGATATGTGAGACTGTATTGTCTTTCAACTATGACTATAAATCCAAAATTATTTGTGGAACACTGTAGCAACACCAACAATCGAGATCTTCTTACAAACCATGTCCACTTGCTCCTCGAGCAACAAGAATCAGCCAATTTAACTACGCAAGACATTCAGGAGCTAATTTGCTGCTTGCGCCACTTTTCATAATGTATTTCAGCATTAAAAAACCTGTCTTATTCACTAACCACCTGCAATCACTGCCATTCTTTTCAACCCAAACACGCTTCCTTTTTCTGTAATATGTTTGAGTGCATTTTTGATTGTGGGAGTAATTCATCAAATGATGATGAAACAATCGCAAAATGGTGTGCTATTGAGAACACATTTTAAAAAGCCAATTCAGGTGTTTGTATCACAGTGGTGGAGAGATTCTGTAATGTGCCAGTAAAAGTTCAGCATATTGCAGTATTCTGCTGCATCCTCCAACACCAAGCATTCACTCAATTGCACCTGATTTGCATAATTCCTTTTGTGAACTAAAATGGCGCCATTAGTTAGATAAATTCATTCCAATCCCAATGCACCAGAAAACTCACTAATGATGGAAACAGCCTCACTATTTAGATATACCGGTCTGAACACATTCACTCAAAGAAGCAAACCTGTTTACATATACTGTTGCCATCTACATGTATGTTTTTTTTTGTTTGTTTTTTAAATATTACGGATTTTTTTTACGAATTACAGATTTTTGCAACTTTCTCATGTAAAGAACTTTCAACAGCAAAATTTTTGTTACTGAATGAACAGGAAATGTGCACTGTCACATCTCTGGACAAGAACATCCGTGAGATTAGCGTCATAGGTTGGATTGATAGAAGAAGATTCTCAAAAATGTCCTCCAGTCAGAGTCACGGATTAGTCTATGAAGGATTATGATTTTTTAATTAATTGTTTTGGTCAAATGGTTTTTCTTTCTACTGCTTCGCACTCCTGTAGTTTCCTTGTTCATCTCCTTTGTCAAAATGACATGTTGACTTGCATGCTTCAAAGTGACACGTGATTTTTCCACTTTTCCAGTCCTCTGACAGCAGAAGGTTGGTCGCTTTCTCAGTATCAGTCCTGCTATTTGGATTCTCCGACTGGTCGAAATGGAGCAGAAATGATCTCATAAAGAATGAAAATGATTAATGTCCCATGTTCCTGTGTGCCTTTCCCCAAATTCAACCACAGTAACTTGGATTACGGAACCGATAATATAATTTATTTGTCAATATCTTCATGCAGTGATGTATTATTTCTGTGAAGGAAGATTTGTCTTTGTACACTTTCTTGGAATAGCCCAGACAGCCATCCTCATTCTGTATTAAATTAGCCAATGGTGTAAGGCCTGAAATGCTTCTTTTCTGTATTTGAACTCTGTTACATGGTGATTAAATATTAGTAAACTCAGTGGATTTACAGTGGATCTTTCTATTGATGCATGTTAATTGTATTAAAAGTGAGAATCAAAAGACGAAGTCACTTAGCTCTTCTTTGTTGTTAAGTCTAGTGTCTCGATTGTCTGTGGTGGTTAATACACTAGGAGGAGGCAGGAAAGATGCTACGTTTTAATCTCAGTTGGTGGCAGCTCCATCAGTGCTTGAAGGTGGTGCACTGTCATTGGGGCAAGCCGAGTCTAGACCTCCACTGGAGCTTTTCCCAGTATCAGGGGTTTTGGGAGGGGTTGTGCCCTTCACATCCAGCCCAGGAGATATGGGTGCACGTGGCTCTGACTCGATGTCAGCCTTGGATTCTGGAGTACCATTTGTAGTTGGTTTTGAGTCGAGAATCTCTGAGACCGGTGGTTTAGACTGTGGAGTGGGTGAAGCTGGTTTAGGCTCAGGGACTGGAGAAACCAGTTTAGTATCCAGAGGGCTCACAGCGGGTTTCTGTTCAAGAGAGCCAACTTTAGCTGGTGTGGGTTCAGGAGTAGGTGAAACTGCTGGTTTTGCATCAGGAGTTGGTGTTACTGCTTTTGGAGTTTCAGGGGTTGGACTTGGAATTGGTTTAACATCAGTTGTTGTTGCCTCAGGTGCTGGACTTGGTTTCGGATCAGGTGTCACAGGTTGCTTGGGATCTGGTGATGGGCTTAAGGTCGGTTTTGTTTCAGGTGGTGGTGAGATGGTCATTTTCGATTCAGGTGTAGCAGCAGGTTTGGGTTCAGGTGTTGGTGTGACCGCAGGCTTGGGCTTAGGTTCAGGTGTTACTGGTGGTTTGGGTTCGGGAGACGGTGGTGGAGGAGCTGTCGACTTGGCCACAGGTGCTGGTTTCAGATCAGCAGCTGGTGCTGGTTTTGGAGGTGAGGGAGCGGTCTTTGACTCTGGAATTTGGTTGGGAATGGCTTTGACATCAGGGGCAGCAAAGGAACTCAATACATCAGAATCTGCTATGGCTGCTGTTGGGGCATCAGTGTCACTGTCAAGCGGGAGTCCAGTGGTATTAAAGCCCACTCCAGAGTCACTGGTCTCTATGTTCCTCTCTTGAAGGCTTGGCTCTTTAGTTGACACCTCCAAACCCTGAGGAACATACTAAGAACTTAGCTTTCCTAAAGCATTTTCACAACATTCAACATAATTTTGCATTTTATATTAAGCAAATGCTTGGGGTTTAGATATACAGATAGCGCTATTGATTAAAATGCCTTTCAGCTTCCTGGTGCTCACCTTAATGCTGACCTCTGTGCTCTGTGATTTCTCAGTGATGTCTTCTTTCTGTGACAGGGCCGGGGCTTCCTCATTCTGATGGGTACAGGCATCTTTCACAACCTGCAAAAAATATGAGCAAAGGGCTTATAATATACTCCATTATACAAGCAAAACTTTTCTCTTTCTCCTTTGATGTTGGAGAAGACAAGAAATAAGAATGTGGAACATAAGGCAAATGTTTATCTGATGTTTCTGTGTTGGGCTGGTCAGGATTCTCAAACAATTAGAGCGATGTTTTTTATAGTGCCACAGAGCTACAGTTGATATTAATATATTTATAAGGTGACCAAAGTCCAAATAATGTTGAGGGCCACTGTACATTCAATTATTTTTATTTCTGTCATATTTTGGTGCTTAAATAGGTGGTAAGATAAGACCTGTCTGAAGGCATCTCCCTCCACTTTGCCTGCATTCTGGACTTTCTCCTCAATGGCTCTGGCCTTTGCTGCACGTTTGCGCATCTTCACCAAACATGACACCAAGCACACCAACAGCAGCAACACCAGTAATGCTACCAGAGCAATGATAGCAATGTAGAGTTTAGGAAGCCTGTATGCTGAAAGAGAAAGAGAGATACATCATGAAGTCCAAAACATGAAAATTAAATGAACTGTAATTTCTCTTTGTCATATTGTGTGTCCTCACATTCCATCTCCAGGTGGACATCAGACACCAGGAATCCCTTAAGGTCAGTCACACTGAAAACTCCGGCATCGCTGGCCCTCACGTCCGTAAGAAGACACAAAGAGTCCTCCAAAGAGAGACGACCCTCAAGATCCAGGTTAGGAGGCAGGTTGAGTTGTCCGTTCTCCATAATCAAATACTTATATTTATCAGACTGAGGGATGTACAGTAGGCGAGCTAGGGAGCTATTCATGTGCAGGTTTATTTTCAGAGTGCCACCGTATGAAAGGGTCACAAATATCTGATGTGCTGGTAGAAAGAAAGAAGGAAGGACAAAAGGAAGAAAAGCTGTTACTGAAGCTGAGATGTTCAGCTTTTTTCTATGATGATGTCACGAGAGTGAAGAAAGAAGAAAAAGAATCGGCAGGGAGGAGAAAGCATTAATATTTTAGGGAATAAATGCTGCAGGCAGAAAATGACAGACTATTCCATCTGTCTCTCTTCCTCTCTTTGTACTTCCCCTACTATCCTTTCTTTTTGTGTTTTATAACGAAATAAACTTTTTAAGAGTGTATATTACATACAAACAACCTCCAGTCGTAAATTTCACACCTCAGTTTTTTCTTTTTGGCTCTCAGAATACTTAATTCTGATTAGTCAATTGCAGCATTCTGCCACCAAAGATTTTTGTATGATGTTTATTTGACCATTGTCCCTGACAAAAATCTCTGGTACTAGTGTCATATATCTCACATCACTCTGCGGCCCCTTTCTCCTCACAAAATCAAATCATTTCACCACAAATCAATACTTCCATTTATTTATAGCAGTGTAATGTGTGGGAAAATGTACAGCTACAGTTCTATGGACTATGGTACACTATTAAGAAGTGCTAACCTGCAAATGCTATCTTATCAAATGCAATATTTATCAATGTAACCCAATGTATAGATTAAGTTAAAATTTTTGATTTAAATCAAATACATTTTGTTAACATATGAGAAATTGTACATATTCAATTAAGAAAAACACTTAAAAGGACTTCAAGGCTTTACTCAAGTGAAAACAATTTCATCATCCTCATGAATATGCTGGGTTTCTCTCATATCTAAAGGCTGCAGCACACCTGTTTTTGTTCCGTGCTGAGTTATACAATTGAATCCTTTCATGATAACATACAGTATACACGCTGCTAATAATCTGTTAATTGTGCAGTGTGAGATTCATTGGTCAAAACAGAACTTTGTGAGATCGCAATGAACAAAGAGTGACAGCTTTTCAGTCGGTATAAAGAGCACTCTTTGCGAGTTTTCTAGGCTTATAATCCATTTATAATCTATTTAAAATGTAAACTTTGTTTTTCGGCAACACACACGTTGCAAAGTTTCGGGAATGACATCCGCATATTTATGCGGGATTTGCTCTTGAAGTAGCAGTGATTGACATAGTGATAACCATATCAATAGACGGGACAAAATATGTGAAAATGTGCATTAAGACTAGAGCACCCTCACTCATTTCAGAAGCACCCTCAGTGATTATTTCTGGAACCTGGTTGATACGCTTTTATTGCATAACTATATACAAAAACAACAAAATACAAATGCACTAAATAAAATAATTTAATAAATGCATATTTACAATTTAAGCACTAAACTAAAATAAATAACTAAAGAAGGCTGACTATAATCAGCTTGCTTCCATTTAGTGAGAAAAGCCTACTCTTCAACTGAATTAGAAAAAAAAGCTCCTCTGGTCTTCAGTGATGCGGGGACAACGTTTGAGCATACATGTATATCTGAGCGAGAGCAGAGCCAATTCATAAAAAAAAATATATATATTTATATTTAAAAACACGTTCAGTTTTGTGTGAGTGAAGGAAATCTGCGTGCGAGTGGAGATTCGTGCTCGCGCATTACATGGATCACGTAATATTATGCGCTCTCGACATTTGTCATTAAGATCACGCTATAGAAATCGCCTAAAATTAAGTACAAAGAAGAGAAGAAAGCGGCCCTAGGCAGCTGCCTACACATGCCAGGATCCGCCACTGCCAGATGCAGTTATAAATACTAAAACAAGCCTATCGCAAGACATCTGGTAGGGGGGGCACCTGGGGTGGCCAGCCAAATTTCAGGGGGGGCCGGTGCCACCCCTGGCCACCACGTAGACCCGTCCCTGAAGATTAGGACATTAATATGTTATATGAAAATAATATCAGTGTGTCATGAATCCTAGAAATTGTGTTTTTCCCCCCTCTCTTCTTCCCACGCTCACCTTTCACATTTAGGCAGATCTTCTTCTGGACTTTCCCAATGGAATCACTAAAGGTGTAACTGCCTTCATCAGCCCCTGTAACAGCACGCAAAGTGAACTTTTGAGGAGTGATCTCAATGCGGTCCTGGTAATTCTCCTTGGGCGTTCCATCAGCATTTAGCAGTTCCTTAGCCGGCAATGACGTCTGATTGGCCTCCACGGCACTGTGGCGATAGCCCACACGCACTGGGTCTGAGATATCATGCAGTGATACATGAAAATCTAAGCCGTACTTAATGATGACCTCACTAGAGCAATCTGGAAAAGTGAGAGAAACAAAGAAGAGAAACACATGAGATAAATGAGATGTGGTACTTGCCCTGCATTCGAACAAATGTGTATTGTATGAACTATTAGATAAAGAATTATACATCATGAAATAAACCTTGTTACCCAAGTTATTATAAGAAAAACTGTCAAATTAATATTTTCCTTAAATTATGGGAAATATAAATTTAGCAATAATTACAAACCAACATTTTGTCAAAAACTAGCTAGCATTTAATGAATGACACCTTTTTATTTGCTATATTATTTTTAATTTCATCAATTTTATCTGTTTAATTGTAATGTTTATTAGAAAAAATACATGTTGCATGATTGCAAACCCCATAGAAAATAAAACAGCTCATATTATTATCTCGGTTTGACCTTCCTAAGTACTTCTTTTCTCTGACTAATTGTTGAAAGAAAAAAAGGCCACATTAAAATAATACCATTAATAAAAGGTGCCAGCCAGCACAGCTGATAATGGGAGAAATAGAGAGCTGGGTAAAGAGAAAGAAGGATCTTTAGGTAGAGAAGAATGGAAGACAACCAGTGTGGCTTGACAGAGCTACAATTACTGCAGCAGGTCATTAAACCTCCCTTACTGTTCACAACATGACTTCCTATAATAATGAAAGTCACTCAGAGCTATTCTAGTGCGTATGTGTGCACATCCAACTTAGTGTACAAGCTGCTGTAAAAAATGTGCGAACAATTTTTTGGTAAATTATGCAGTACCTCTAACATAGAGTGTGATGCGTGTAATATTCTCTGGATTTTGGTTAGATGTGATGGTGTAGACTCCTTCATCACTTTCTCCAACATTCTCCAAGATCAGGTGCCTCGAAGCAGAGTTGAGTTTGGCACGAAGATCCACCACTTTCCCAGAACTCATCAGCGGCTTCTCGCGACCTGGAACAACCGAAGGCCTGAACGTCACATCAGCTCCATCTGCCGGCACGAGGATGTGGAAGTCTTCCCCAAAAAACAGAGTCTGAGACTCTTCTTGGGCTACAAGAAACACAAAGATATATATAGGGGGATTTTACTTTTTTACATTGTTGCAACTGCTTATTTTTATTAATAAACAAACAAACATTAAAAGGGACTGTTTTTACCTTTCAGTGTTGCAGAGAATGCTAAAAAGTCAAAAAGAAAAGCACCAATGTTTACATAAACAAACACATTCATTAGCACCATAATGTGACATCAACTAGTCAAATCATACAGAAAGTGACAATGTACTTAACCTTTATGCAAAATTTAAATATTCATTATTATTACATTTATATGAATTTTTTTGTGTTTGGACAATTAGTTATCATGCAAAAGAATTTAGGAATCAATTAGGGAAAATTGACCACACCATTTCATACTGTCTGACATTTTTTAAAGTTTATTAGAACATTTTAAAGATTTAAAGAACATATATATATATATATATATATATATATTTGGAAATATGACCACAAGTTTCAGCTCTTATTTTTGGATTGATATGCCAATGTACAAGTTATAAAAACTACCCACTTTGTTTCAGAAAATGCAGTATGGCCATTAGAGATGGCACTTTTAATAACCCTGGTCATATTGGGTCAGATATTCGTTATACAACTAATAGCTATGCATGTACAGTATATAGTCCCTGTAAGCGGGTACATCCAATACTCCCTTGCCATTTGTGAGAACATTACAGCACTTAGAGATGATGCATTGTGCATCAGGGCTGTAATTAAAGAACTACAATAGTTATTAGCATGTCAGAGTCACTGACCTTAACATTTCAGCACAAAAAACAACTTGTGTAGTGTTAATAATGATACAGATAGATCAACCACTGAACGGATTGACAAGGACTCTTTCTTACCTGAGTAAAACAGCACGGTTAAGATGAGCAGTCTCAGATTCTGCATATCGGCTCTGAACACATTCACACATGGAAAGAAGATTTAAATTATAAGCACTGACATTGTAAATGTGTAAGTTTCATTGGTATGTTGCTGAAGTGTTCTCACATCCCAGCTAGGAACAAAAATTATGAAAACAACTGATAAAAATTACAGGTTTATTGGCAAATGGACACAGATCGATTGAGTGCTTTGATGTGGAGCTGTGAATAGGGTGTGACTGTAAAACAATCTACTTTATGTTAATGTTAGACAGACGTCTATGACTGTTTTTCAGCTTTTATGGGTGATGTGTCAGCTTTGGCTTAGATCATCAGGCCATGGATCTAAAAGGGCTCTGTTGACAAATGAGCTTGTTTAAAGAGCTACTTTAAATTCTAAAATTGTAATTGTGGGTTTATTGGCTTGTCTTGTGCATTGCTTATAACCAACATTGATCTAGTATCTCAGAGGGGTTTATAATAAATAACAAGCAACAATCTTGTTTCAGTTTATTTATTATTGAGATTCCCAGTTAAGAGATCTCAGAAATAAATGTCATTATAAATTATACTTTTAGGTCCAGTGCTGTCTGTATAAATGGAATGAGAAGCATATGACATCAACTGGGTGGATCCTTATCTTCATTATCAGGAGGATATTTAATGACTGAAGATATAAAAAATGTGAGAGAAAATGAAATCTGATTGAATCTATCTGTTAGCCCGGTTTGTTCTTTAAAAAGTCTATCTCTGATGTTTAAAACTGAATGACGTGTTTTCCATTATGCAGAAAAATGCAGAACTTTCATTTCAGAGCAGATTTCATGTGGGCCTACTCATAACTATTTCTATATAAAAAAATAAAAAAAATTATATATATATATATATATATATAAATAAATAAATATATTTATTTATTTATTTCTAGGGTGGTTTTTCAATTATGTCAGGTACCAATCTTTAGAATGAACAGATTCCTATTCAAAATACTAATAATAATGTCAATTAAACATTTTGGAGTAAAACATAAAATATATTCACTAGAGAAATGTCAAAGATTTTATTGATTTCCATTACATTTACTGATATGGAAATAGGAAATTCCCTGATATTTCAAGATTTTTTGTGACAGTAGAAACCCTTACATTTTTTGATGCACAAAATATATTAATAGCTGAACTTACACTTATCATAATACATAAATTATAATTATTTTTAATTTTATTACAGATGGGATAATATAGGTATGATGTATGGTAATCTGTAATGTGGAAATATCAGGACAAACACATTCATTCACAGTCTGAAAGAAGCCGGCACTTCATGCAATTAAAATCCTAAGAAAACCTTTGCCAGGCCAGACATACTGTATTAGACAGCAAGGAAAGCATCCAGAACAGCAGACATGCATTTAGGTCATTCAGTGATTTCATAACAGACTTCTGCCCAGACGCTCAGCTATTGCACATTTTATTGCCATTCAGTTGCAAAAAATTAGAAAATTTAAAAAAAAAAAAAAGCAAATGAGCATATACAGTATAGGGCCTATATCTCTCTAGACAATAAGACACATGTGCTGATGTGTAAATGTGTCAGCGCTGTATTAGTTTCATATGGACAAAGTGCCATCTGGTCCATGCTTTTACTCCTTCTCTTTCTCTCAGTATGACACCTCTTACAGCAAACTTACAGTTCCTCTCCTATAAGACACAGCATATATAAAACATGGGCAACATGGAGGAAGAAATGCAGGCCGAGTGACAAGGTGCTCACATACTGTACAACAAGCTTTTCTCCTGAGTGTAATTCAAAAGATGAATAGGAGCTCCACACAACCTGCTACAAATATATGAACTGCAGTATTACATATTGGTAAATTATGCCAGAAGCAGGCTGTGTGTAAACCAGGGAAATAAAACAAGATGAATAGGAGCTCAGGGAAATCAACCTCAACCTTTGCAAAGGTGCTGTAGCAAATTCATATGTGGTTATTGATGTTAGAAGCAGGTCATCTCCTAAGAGACCAGGATGGGACATCTGGAAATTACTTCCAGATCATTCCATTCAGACTTATTTGACTACTCTATCTCCTGGATCATAATCTATTTTAAAGCCTTGAATTAGATCAATTCAAGGCGATACTGTAGTTAAAAGAGTCTGATGTAAGACATGAAAGGCGATGAGATCATGGCTATGTCTCACAACCTAGTGAGCTGACTAGCTAGGCACCATATTTGGGCTTCATTATGGTTGCGAACATGGCGTATAGATAAGCATCTGAATGGGTTTTGAGACACAGTCCGTATGTGTTATGGGCGGCGGCAGCTTTGACTTACGCGCGCTCACGTCTCCCCTCTATTTCTGACGGAAACCTTCTGTTATGATCTGTTCCCCTCCCAATCATAAAACTATTTGCCAGTCAAACAAATTTTCTCTCGGTCACAAGCTGAGAAAGATCGCCTACACATGTACGGGCTATTATGGTGCACGGACGACAAAATTATACAGGCCAGTTGAGCCGCAGAACCGGCAAAATTAGCTATAAATTCCCTGAGAAATATATATATATATAAAAATCGAAATTATTAATGTTATTATTAAAATTATATTTATAGCTTATCGCTATAAACAGTGATTATATTTGCTCTTCACGTCTTAATTTTCCTGTCATTTAATCTGCGTAAAATGCGTATTTTAATGGTAACATTTCTTATGTTAATACAGGATGCTGAACCGGCGCTCGCGCGCTGACGGGGTTATTATGTGATGCTATGCAGAAAAGAGCGCAAATCTATTCTTCAACAAGCCTAAATCCTCGTCTACATCTCTAAATATGCATATTACATCTTATTTTATTCGCGTTCCAACAGCAAACAGCAACTTTATCCAATCGGAAAAGTACCAGACGAAGCAGAAACTGCAGAATTTAACCCTTCAATTCCTGCAAGCCAAAGCCAGCTCCCCGTATATAACATCTCTGCTGCAAAATTGACATTCACCCTCACCGTGTTCTCCACTCACCTCCAAAATCCTCCTCAGCTGATATCTGTAATAGACTGAAATTCCGTTATTCGTTTCTTTCAACCTCGAAAATCACTTAAGGACTAAGTTGCACCTTAGGAATCTGTCCGGTATCTTGCAGCGTCTCGAGTGCGGTCGGTAAAGCCCGGCGCCTCAACCCCTTATGGGCGTGTCAGCGGATCCGAACACACTCAGCCAACCTTTGCAGAACCGACGTGAAGGTCTTTAAGGTGTTCTTCAGATCGATTCATCACTGAGACCAACGCCCTGAATACAAATGTGCACTAGACCATTTTGTCGTTTTCATATGCATTTTGTTTCGATTTATGTAGTTTTGAAAGGGCAAAAACGCACAATATTTCTTAATTTTAGGCTCTGAAAGCGTTTATTGAAGTAATATGTTAAAAAATGAGAGGAGCTCATTCTCCCTTAACTAACACTCATCATTCATTGACATCCACCTCACACTCTCCAGCTCTCACATTCACAGGAATCAGTGGGCGTGTGGTTACAAGTGTAGCAGCATCTCATCTAACTCATTATTGTCTTCATAAAACTGAAATATTATGCGGCACATATTCATCTTAAGCAATCTGAACTTAAACATACATGTATCAGATTCTGTCATAGACTGGAACAAATGTATTACACAAAAGTCCTTTCCTATGTCATTGTCATTACTTCCTACGGCCCCTGGCAGCAGCTTTGGGGGCCGCAGGCTGATTGGACGTGTTGAGAGAGGAAGTGAGAGAATAGGCCTGCAGGTCAACTCTCTGCTGCAGAATGCCAGTCAATAGAAACTCTGTGCTGACCACGGGCAATGACATACTCACTGCCTTATCACAAAGCGCCCTGTCCTGCTCACATGACACCACTACAGTGTGCTCCTGAATAGACAGAGGGAGAAATCACAATAAAATATGAGAATATATAATATGTGCATTAAAATAGGAGAATATATGCATTGGTTCTGGGTACCTTGTGAGCAGATGGCATTTTGGGGAGGAAGCGTGCTCCGCAGCAGGTGATAATTTCTTTCATTTGAGATGGTTCCGGCATCACAGAAGGGGTTACGTGAATCTCATAACCCTACGAAAGCAAAATTAGGGGAGAAAATACATGATGGGGATGGTACACTTGAGGCTTGGGCTTGATACACTTATGCGCTTGTGAGGGACTAATACCTTTAAAAGAGGTTGACTTTCAGCAGTTTGCAGTGACTTCTGTAGGCTGAAACTAAACTTTTTCTCCTGCTCGGCGTCTTTCAATATATATTCATCAGTAGAAAGGAAATGGCCAGCTTTTCCACACTGAGAGAGAAATGTTGTCACTGAGAGGATGTTGTCATGCTTAAGTTGAGTTGAAAATAAATCTGTATTTTGTACTAGTTCCACAGCTAGAAACCCTTAAACAGCTTCTTAAACATATACATATAAACAAATCAGCAATATCACTATAAACCATTCTTGACCACGAAATGCACGGACAAAACATACATTAACAAATTTCTGGGTTTAGAAAAAAATGTTAATGTGTGGTGTGAGAGTAGGGTTATTAAGCATCGCCACCAGACACGTGAAGGTTTTTTACACTGTTGTACGCTTTTTTTGTACATTACAAAAAGTACACCTCAGAATTCAATTGAAAAGATATATCAATCAATTAAAGATACAATATTTATTTTATTAAAATTTAATTTAACTTTTTTAAAAAAAGTAGTTTAATAAAGAATAAACTTGACATTTTTTATTTGACAAACAAGCATTTTATAGGAGTAAAGTCAGATATGAATTATGGATTTTAGGTTTGGCTTGGTTTGAACCAGAAACATTCCTTTACTATACACTCCCTCACCTTCTTTAGCCAATCAGGAGTCACGATTGGCACCCCTCTGGCAACAGCGCACAAAAACTTAACAGTGCGTCTCGCTTTATCAGTCACCAGGTGAGTCATGTCGTTCACTCCTCTAGCCAGACTTCCACCTAACCGGGAGACGACTCTTTCTCCATCCTGATCTGTCAGCCCAGTGAATAACACCTAAAAGAGAAGATGGCAGATTAGTGTCATCCACAGTGATATAACCTGCTAGTAAATGTCTGTATTTGAGGGTGCGTGTGACCTTGTGCGCCTGAATAGCCACAGAGCGCCTTGAAGTCTTGGGTGTGGGCGAAGGAGCCTCTTCTGGGGATGCGCTAGTGTTTGCTGCTCTCTTACGACCTCTGCTGTTGGTTTGGGGCACAGCAGTGCTGTCCTCCACCACCTCAGCATCTTGTTCATGCTCATTGTCCATTCCAACATTTACATTCTCCGCACCAGAACGCCTTCCTCCTCTTCCCCTGCCTTTTCCAGAAGTTTTAGCTTGGGAAACTTCTTCTGGTTCAGGTAGTTTCGTACTCTTCCTGCCTCTGCCTCTTCCTCTTCCTCTCGCCCCTTGGTTCGAAGGTCCGATACTATGAGCAGATTTTTCAGAACTTCTAGAACTGGAGCGGGAACGGGAACGAGTTGTTGAATTGGAGTCCTGCTCTGTGTCTTCAACTGCACTAGCTGATCCTCTCCTGCCAGACTGTCTAGCATTGATGGGTTGCTCATCAGTTGTCTGCTTCCCTTGGCCTCGCCCCCTGCCCCGCCCTCGTCCCCTCTGGCTGGACGCCTCCTGTTGTGAGGATACAGACTGATTCGAGTTCATAGAGGAGCTTGAGCAACGGCGTGTTCGTCTGGCTGGAGGAACTAGAGGAGCTTCTAGTTCTGTCTTGTCCTCCTCCAGTCGCTCATTCTTCTGTTCTTTCTGATGGTTTCTCTCCTTTGTCTTTTTTTGTTCTCTTGCTCTCATCTGAAGTCCCTCATTTTCTCGTCTTTCCTTCTCTATTTGTTCCTTCTCCTTTTTAATTCTTTCCTCTTCTTCTTTTCGTCTTTGTTCTTCTAGTTCTCTCCTCTCCCTCTCCAACCTCTCTAAGCATTCTTTTTCCTCTTTTTCCCTCTGAATTATCTCATTTTCTTTTTTCACTTTTTCCTCTTCTTCCCTTTTCAGTCTTTCTTTTTCCTCTAATTCCTTTTGCTCTCTTTCTAGTTTTTGTCTCATTTCAGTTTCAGCCCTCTCCCTTTGTTCACATTCTTCTTGCTTCTTTCTCTCATACTCCAGTCTCTCCTTTTCTTCCCTCTCCGTCTTCTCTTGTTCTTGGAGCTCTTTCTCCATCTTCTCTTTCTCTTCTTGGGCATTCCTCTCCTCCAATCTTTCCTCTTCTTCCTTTTCATTACACTTCAGTTTTATGCCTGTCCGTCTGGTTCCTCTCCTTGTGTTTTGTTCTTCTTCACTCTCTTCCTCGTCCTCAGACAATGCTTTCCCCCTCTTTCTTTTTCCTTCCTGCCCTTTTCTAGTTTTACCTTGGACTTTACTAGATGCCGTTGTCTCACTTTCTACCTCTGTCTTGTCTTTCCTCTGTCGTCTGCTACTTCTGCCAATAAGTTTTTCTTGGGCGCTCTCCTTCTCCACCTCCGTCTTGTCTTTCCTCTGTCTTCTGCTACTTCTGCCACTAGGTTCTTCTTGGGCGTTCTCTTCAACCATGGGCTGTGTTTCAACAACACTGAGATCAGAGTTAGGTTCAGCAGACTGTGCAGGTTCATGTTCGTCTTTTTGTCTTCCTCTGCGGGGTCTTTTGGATCTGATGCCACTCAGATCTTCATCCCTTTCAGTTCTGTCCTCATGAACAGGCTGCGTTTCTGTGTTAATGGAAAGGGAGCTGACGGCAGCTTCAGCAGGTTTTGGAATGCGGTCCTCTTTTATCGGCCTTCCTCTGCGGGATCTCCTAGATTTCACTCCGCTGTTCAGATCTTCATCCTTTTCAATTACTTCTTCAGGAACTGGTTGGGTTTCTGTGATAATCTGATGAACAGCAGCCTCAGCAGTTTCTGTTACCTCGTCGTCTTTCTTTTGTCTTCCCCTGCATGAACTTATGCTTGACATCTTCCTGCTGAGGTCTTTTTCCTGTCCTTCATCTTCCTCATGCATAGGCTGTGTTTCATCTACGCTGATATGGAAGCTCGAGGGTATTGGGAATTCTGTGGATCTGTCCTCATCTATTTGCCTGGTGCTAAGCGCATTATTCAGATCTTCACATGGTGCCTCTTCTTCACACATAGGTTGTGTTTCAGCAACAGTGTCACATGCTTTCAAGTCCGTTTCAGAAAGTTCTGGAGATTTCAATTCATGTGCTTGTTGTCTTTTACTCTGTCTGCCAGAGCTAACCTCACTTTTAAGATCCTCAATTTGTTTTTCCTCATACATTGGTTGGGTTTCTGTTATAGGGTGATCGACAACAGCCTCGGCAGGTTGTGGGACTTCCTTCTCTTTTTTTGGTCTACACCTGCGTGATCTTCTGCTAGACGTCTTGCTGCTGAGCTCTTTCTCTTGTCCCTCATCATCTTCACCAACAGACTGTGTTTCAGGGATGGCACGACTGGAGGTAGAGGCTTTTTCAATATGATGTATGGACTCACCTTCGGTTTGTCTTCTGTTGACCTCATTGTTCAGATCATCCTCTGGTGCTTCAGCTTCCTCAAACATTGGCTGTGTTTCAGCGATGTTGATATGGGAACTGGAAGGTTTTTCTATACGAGTACTGCTGACCATATTGTCCTGTTCTGGTGCTTCTTCATCATCACGCATTGGTTGCGTTTCAGCTATAGTGAGATGGGAGCTGAAGTTGGTTTCAGCAAGATGTGCAGAATCATATTTCTCAGCCTGTTGTCTTGTACTTGGTTTCTGAAAGCTGTCCGCACTCAGATCTGCATCTGTTGCCTCTTCTTCCTCACACATGGGCTGAGTTTCAGCAATTATAAGAGAGGAGCTGGTGTTTTTACCTTTGTGTACCGTTCCTCCACCACGGGTTCTCCTACCTTGTTTCATGGTCTCCTCCTCACCCTCGTGCGTTTCATCGATGGTGTCGGTCATGAGCTGGGTGGGCTCACTCTGATAAACCTCTTTGTCTTCTCCCTCCCAGACAAGTTGTGTTTGGGCTGTGAAGAGAGAAAATGGCTGCGTCTGCTCCTCTCTTTTTGGGGTGCTGGCTATGATCAGAGTGTCAGCTGTGGAAAGGTGAGAGTCATTTTGTCTGTCTTTATCTTCCTCCTCCTCCTCCTCATCAGGCTTTGCTACATGGATGAGTTGAGTTTCAGCAGTTGAGAGGTTGGAGTACAGTTGGGTATGGTTGAGAGGCTCCTGCTCTTCCTCCCTGTCTGTCTCTGTTCCATATGCTTGTGTAGCCTCAAGATCAAGCTGCTTTGGCTTGTGCCAAGCACTGGCTCCAGCAGTCCCTAAATTTGACATATACAATACTTACAATTTTAGTTAAAAAAATTGTATGAGTTCAATACACATTAAACTCAGCTGACAGCATTTGTGGCATGATTTGATTACCACAAAAAATTATTTTGACTCATTCGACTCAAAAAGCTACAGTGAAACAGCTACTATGTAAGTCAACAAGGCAAATATTTGGAGGATGTAAAAGCAGATATTCAAAGTCTATAATTGCAAGGTAATTTTTTATGAATTCTTTGGTTAAGATTTGTGTTATGTTGCGTTTTAAGTCATAGGAACAAAGTTGTAAAATTGGGCATATCATGCACAACTGGACAAAACAAGCATTTTTTTTCATACTAAAATCAACATATATGTTGTTTACACTGTAACCAAGATTATTTTTTTTTTTTTTAGAGAAGTTGAAAATACTTTTTGTGATAATTAGTATTATGCCCCTCTAACAACCTCTGGCAACCAAGTCTGAAAGCCCCTGCCATAGGAAATATAAAAGGTTTTAGGAATTTATTGTACTGTATTGACTACATTAATGAATTTTATAATTAAAAAAGAATGAGATTAAGAAGGAAGTGAGTGGAATGGTTACCGTATGCTTGTGTGAGAAGTAGGTCCCAGTCTTCTTCTAAGTGGCCAAAAGCTTGGGTTGGTTCCTCAAGACTAGTCTTTGCATGAGAATGATGGTCTTGTTTTTTATGGGTTCTCTTTTCTGATTGCTCTGCTTTGCTACCTACAGAAACCTTGTGACTCCGTGCAGCCTTCACAGCTTTGTCTGGTAAAGGTTTAAAAGGATCCTCATCATCTGTTTCACTGTTAGACAGAAGATCTCTGGCCTTCACCTTTTCCTTGTCCTCATTCTCTTCATCTACATCTGTGTCACTGTCCATGTGGAGCTCTGTCGCTGGAGTTGATGTAGGTCTGACATCACTTCCCTCTCCAACAGAATGTGAAACCTCTGTTGTAATGGAAACCTTCATGGGATTATCATCTTCAACATCAGTGTCACTGTCCAAGTGGAATTCTGTATGTTGTGGTGCTGATGGAGGACTTTCTGTAACTGCTTCCTTTTTGGAGACATTTTCAGTTACATAAGCCTCATTCTCCTCAACATCAGTATCGCTGTCCATATGAATATCTGATTTCACCTTTGGAGCTTCTTCAGTGTGAACCTTTTGTTCAGTCTTGCTTTTCTCTTCCTCATCTTCTTCAACATCAGTATCACTGTCCATATGAAGATCAGCTGAAGAGACAGATTTATCAAGAGTTACTGCTCCTTGAGCCTCTGGTTCAGCCTTACTTGCCTCTGGTTCCTCTTCCTCAACATCAGTATCACTGTCCATATGAAGATCAGCTGAAGATGGTGGTCCCACTTTTGGAACTTGTTCAATCTGAACCTCTGTTTCAGTTTTATTTTTCTCTTCCTCTTCTTCAACATCAATATCACTGTCCATATGAAGCCCAACTGAAGATACAGATTTCTCTAGAGTTATTGCTTCTTGAGCCTCTGGTTCCTCTTCCTCAACATCAGTATCACTGTCCATATGAAATTCAGCTGAAGATACTGGTTCCACCTTTGGAGCTAATTCAGGCTGAGCCTCTGGTTCAGGCTTGATTTTCTCCATGTCCTTTTCTTCAAAATCAATGTCACTGTCCAGATTTAGGACTAGAGAGCCAGGCTTAAATGAGTTTGAACCGGGCTCATCAGGGGTTTGCCTCGGTCTGAACCAGTTTATGGAGGCTGAAGAAGGAGTGATGGAACTTTCATCCTCACTGATAAGAAAAAAAAATAGTGAAGCTCATTTATTGGGAGACAATATATTGAGATCCATAAATGTATTGCACAGTTTATAGCATTAAGGTGCGATCACACATGGGCAAAAAGGTGTACTGTTAATAGTTTAACAATATATGAAACAGTTTGCATTGAAGTCACTTTTAAACCACGCAGCTTTTTGTTGATCTACATGGTGAATTAGTGTGACCAACTTGAACCCAATGCAAAATCTGTGTGGGGCAATCTTTCGCCCTTACACAAAATTTCCGATCGCATGGATTTCTACTGAAATGGGGTTTGCCTCGGTCTGAACCGGTTTATGGAGGCTGAAGAAGGAGTGATGGAACTTTCATCCTCACTGATAAGAAAAAAAAATGGTGAAGCTCATTTATTGGGAGACAGTATATTGAGATCCATAAATGTATTGCAGTTTATAGCATTAAGGTGCGATCACACATGGGCAAAAAGGTGTACTGTTAATAGTTTAACAATATATGAAACAGTTTGCATTGAAGTCACTTTTAAACCACGCAGCTTTTTGTTGGTCTACATGGTGAATTAGTGTGACCAACTTGAACCCAATGCAAAATCTGTGTGGGGCAATCTTTCGCCCTTACACAAAATTTCCGATCGCATGGATTTCTACTGAAATGACTGGATTTTGCCAGTGTAATTTCACTGAACAAAAGTAAATGTGACTGCACCTTTAGCCATGCAACAGCAGGCATGCATTGAATTTTTACACTGACAGATACCATGACATATGAAAAAAATGAAGTCATTTCTGCTTTATCACATCAAGCGTTTCCTTTAATAATGGCTATAAATTTTAAATAGGCCTAAGTGACTAGGAGTGATCCGCTGAAAAATATTACAAGACAATTAATTACAAGACAATTAATAATACAATTAATTTGACAATCAGTATCACATTTCACATTTTATGTGCATTTTTGTCTTATTGACCTTTATAATATGGACAAAACCAACTGACAAACAAACAAACATTCTTAAAATATCTTCTTTTGTGTTTCACAGAAAAAATAAAGTCAAGTTTGAGGGTGAGTAAACAATGACAGAATTTCACATTTGGATGCTCTATCCCTTGACATATATTTAAACAAAATGTAATTTCAATGGAGTTATATCAGTTACACTATATAGTAACACATCAACATTATATAACACATAACATTTTGACTAGTTCATGGAAAATTAGAAAGGAACATTAAAAAACATTCATGAAACATTTAACTTACCTCTCTGGAATGACTTTTTTTGCAGGGGTCAGGAATGATGAATTTGTGGAACTACACAGATGAGAGGAGGACGCCAAGTCTGAAACTATAGCAATAAAGAAAAAAGAAAGCAAGCATGAAAATATTGTTTTATTAAATATTTCAGTAATATTCTTTTTCGTCTCAATTTACCTACCAAAATCTTTCCTCTCATCCATGGCATTCTCTCCATCTGAGTCCGATTCAGGCACCAGGGTGATCTCAGGCTGTTTGTGAGCTGGCTGTGGTGAACTCGTCTTGGGTTGTTCATCCTCAGGGCTCCATAAAGGCACAGGAGGCAAAACACTCCTCTCTTTCACATTTAACCTATTCCGCAGACCTTTACTCAACTCTGACTCCGAGTCACTGCTTGATAACGCTGGACTTGAATTATTCTCCTTTTTGGACACTCCTCCTTTCTCTGGAGTTATGCGTGTATCTTTCTTTGAGATGTTCAGGACAATGTACTGACATGGCACATCAGCGAACACCACACTCTCTCCCTCAGTCAAAGCATATCGTACCTGAGGCGTCAGTTTGAATCTGCCTTTTCTGGTTCCATTCAAACTGCCCATGTCCCATAAAAGTGCTTCTACATCATCACCGTTACCGAAACGATCTTTCCTAGAGCAGAACTCTGAGATGGAGATGACAGCATGCCGACTGGATACAGATCGGGCCGGAAGCAGAACAGAACAGCCAGCAGGATCACGACCGATGACATTCTCTCCGATGTAGAGAGGGAAATCTGATTGAATGTGTGAAGAGAGAAAAAGAGAAAGCAATGCCATTATTTCAATAATGCACAGATAATATTAGTTTTTAAATATTAGTTAATATGTAAGGTAAAGGTAGTCTATAAGAACACTCACCTGTCTCTGGTATGTGGTCGTTTTTGAACACCTTTAATGTTGCCAATTGTTCTCTTTCTGGTCCTCCTTTCTCCTCCTCTTCCTCTTCCTGTTCTTCTTCTTCAGAGAAGGGATCGTCAATCTGCTGGGTGGCATCCATCCTCCTCTCTAGCTGAAGGATCAAAAGTGTTGTTACAACACAAATATGGTTGTCGTGGATACCACCACAAGGTAAATATGGATGTTTTAAGCTCTATACACATAAGCAACATATTATACAATAGTATCAACATTTTCTGATGAATGGCGATGCATGTGTGACAAACAGTTTACTTTAACACATTTTGTATAATATAAGGGCATTGCTATGACTTTCTAATCATTTCTTAATCGAATAATTTTTCATAAGTGCCACACTGGCAGTTTAATCAGAAATAATGCTTCACTCCAAAATGCAAATGAAAACATGCAAGACATTAGCATTTTTTTTTTACGTTTGTGCTGATATATCGTGCTCGATCTACTTCATTTTATAATAAAAAATGTGCGCTTACCTTATCGTGCAGAACACTTGGAAACCATTTCCTGAACACTAAGACCCGCCCTTAAAACGAACACTACTCATTCGCTGATCAAGCTGTCAATCAGAAACTGGGTCTGCACTGATTGGCTGATAATGTGTCACTGCGGATTGATTGGTCATCTGAGAAACAGCAGGGCGCAGGACTTTGGCCCAAGTTTTCCGCGCTTTCTGCAGAGGAGGCGTGTTTCAAAGTGTTTTTTTAACCATTAGGAATTTGAGACGCAATAAAATAATATATCAAAAGCAATTAATGGTGATTAATAATACAATGAATTATTTGTTTCCCATTACACACACACACACACACCCCTCTCATATATTGTACTTCACTTTATTACTATATTATGTACTTTATTATATCATGTGTTTAAAGTTTTCATTAAGCCAATATTTTATGTAAGTGCAAACCTAAAAGGGACTTTTCCTGAGCTTCTTCAGTTATGTATATGGTGTAATGCAGCAAAAACACACCAAAAACCAAAGCAAAGGCTTGATTTTTATCTAAATTGTTTTCATTTTTATTTTGGTTGTCTCCAGAGGCTCAGTTTTTCCACAGGGACAATCAAGGAACATAAAAACATTTGAAAAATGTAATAAAGAGTATGCAGTAACACTTAAAAGTATGGGCTCAGATATGAGACATATATGAGAGTCCATGAATTAAAAATTTGCACCAACAATTCATTCAACATGCTAAAACTTTCGTCTTTCCATCTGCATAATCTAAAATACTTTACCGTTTCGTCCATGTCATTAATCATACTCCTCCTCCTGTAGACGTTGGCTGGCGTCCAAGCGAGGTTAAGATTCAGTACCCTTGTTATTCTGAACCTAGTCTTTCTTACAGTCCTTTTCTTTTCCTTCATCTTTCACACAACATACTTTTGGAAACATTTCTCTAAATACTGCAATTAGACCCGCTGAGGTCACACTGAAGTGCCATTATCTCACAGAGTTGCCCTGTTCTAGTGCAATAATAACAAAAGCAAACATTAAAACACTATAATAATAATTTTTACTTGAGTTGCCAACAAAAAGAAGCAAATGTTCCAATGAAAGAAAAATGAGATGTTACTGTCCTCCTGACCCCACTATCTATCCATTTATAACATTGATTCTAATTGGATGTTTGCCACTTTATTCTTCCCTGTTCTGTACAGAGAGGAACTGACCATCAGAACGGTAAAGAAATACACAAAAAAGTGAGTGATTTATAATCGTAAACACTGTTATCCACCCATTCCGTGTTTAAGAACATTCTTTCTGTCTTCCTCTGGTTATTTTTGGCCCCGTTTGTCTAGTGCTAATTTCTACTTCATTTGATTGAGACACTAAAACTGTTCCATATACGTTTTGCTACATTTACTCAAACTTGGACACACTACCACCTCCCCAAACACCTTTCCTCCTTAAGCATCGTCCTCAGCCTCTTCCTCAAACTCGCCCTCTTCCTCGGCGGTGGCGTCCTGGTACTGCTGGTACTCAGACACCAGATCATTCATGTTGCTCTCTGCCTCGGTGAACTCCATCTCGTCCATCCCTTCTCCTGTGTACCAGTGGAGGAAAGCCTTACGCCTAAACATGGCCGTGAACTGCTCGGAGATACGCTTGAACAGCTCTTGGATAGCCGTGCTGTTGCCGATGAAGGTGACGGCCATTTTGAGACCCCTAGGCGGAATGTCGCAGACGGCAGTTTTGACGTTGTTGGGGATCCACTCCACGAAGTAGCTACTGTTCTTGTTCTGGACGTTCAGCATCTGCTCGTCGACTTCCTTCATAGACATGCGGCCACGGAATACGGCGGCGACGGTCAGGTAGCGTCCGTGTCTTGGATCGCAGGCCGCCATCATGTTCTTGGAGTCGAACACTTGCTGCGTAAGCTCAGGCACAGTGAGGGCGCGGTACTGCTGGCTGCCTCGGCTGGTCAGAGGGGCGAAACCGGGCATGAAGAAGTGCAGACGGGGGAAGGGCACCATGTTGACGGCTAATTTGCGCAGGTCAGCATTCAGCTGGCCGGGGAAGCGCAGGCAGGTGGTGACGCCACTCATGGTGGCTGAGACCAGATGGTTGAGGTCACCGTATGTGGGGGTGGTGAGTTTGAGGGTGCGGAAGCAGATGTCGTATAAGGCTTCATTGTCTATGCAGTAGGTTTCATCCGTGTTCTCCACCAGCTGATGGACGGACAGTGTAGCGTTGTAAGGCTCCACTACAGTGTCAGAGACTTTTGGGGAAGGCACCACGCTGAAGGTGTTCATGATGCGGTCTGGGTACTCTTCACGGATTTTGCTGATCAGCAGGGTACCCATACCAGACCCGGTACCACCACCCAGGGAGTGAGTAAGCTGGAAGCCCTGCAGGCAGTCACAGCTCTCAGACTCCTTACGGACCACATCCAGAACAGAATCTACAAGCTCCGCCCCCTCTGTGTAGTGGCCCTTGGCCCAGTTGTTACCAGCGCCGCTCTGTCCTGTAAGGTCACAGGGAGGAAGCACACACATCAGACTGTGTAAGATGAGGCATTTCACATCCTTTCTGTTTGCAACTATAATGTGATACTTTTAACATATTTTGCACAATTAAAAAAAAATTCCCTTTTGCCAGTCACTCACCAAATACAAAGTTGTCTGGTCTGAAGATCTGTCCGAAGGGTCCTGAACGCACAGAGTCCATGGTGCCAGGCTCCAGATCAACTAGAATAGCTCTTGGCACATATTTACCGCCTCCACGAGAGAGAGAGAGAGAGACAGGGACAAGGGAAAGAAGCAGACCAACTCAGTACATGTAAGAAATTAAATCTATAAAAAAAGTTATTTTAATACCTGCATGCAGGTTTAAGGCTTTAAAAAAAATGATGTAGAGTAAGATGGGTAAGATGTCCGTGTTTCATTTTTCTCTTGACCTCTAGTCACCAAGCCTCATCTCAACACATTTTTTTAATAGTTATACTTTAATGTTGACTTAATTACAGCTGTACAGTATTTATATTTGTAGAGCCAAATATATTGTTTTCTTATTGAACTAAAACATTAAAAAGAGACACCTCGGAACATGGTCAAAAGGCTCTCAGTAGAATGTTGTTGCTGGTGTTACTTAATTCAATAATTATTATCATCCACAGAGTTAATATTTAATAATTTAATTAATTATTAAATATAACAATAAAAATGTATTCTATTCTATAACTAAATAGTCAACATGCATACATTTTCATGGAATATTCAATGTTTATAATGTATTTTACATTAATGACAACTTTTTCCAAAAAATTAAAAAGTATAACATATTTTACAAAAATAGAAATAAAAAAAAATCAGACAGGCCAAAGTTTCAAGTTTATCTCAAGGGGCTTTTTTCCCTTTTCATGATTTTCAGTTTTGTGTTTTTAAGAACTAAATAAGCAAACCTATTACCTATAAAACCTATAAAATTTAGCATTAAGCAGGAATTTTAACTATCTTTTCTTCTCTATTGTGACGTGTTTTCAAGTTAAACAGCTTCTCGAACAAGAAAAAAAGTAGGGCTGGACTTGATTTTGTCCATCGGGAATTGGTTGGATTGTTTGATCATTGTTGTTTGCTAATAGCTGTGTTCATTTAATGTGATTGACAGGTTGCTGGAGAAGAGGGATGTTTGTCCTGCCCTCACGCCAGTATACTACACATCATCGAAGAATAGATGTCGTGGGGGGAGGAGGTAGCAATGTTTTTGAATAAAGATTACGGTGCCATTTTTTTTCAATGATGTGCGCATATAAATCATTTATGATAAACATTGCAACATTCCATAAAATAATACAAACTTTTGATTTCTTGGTGACTTTATTAATATATTAGTTGATGTCATCATCCTGTACGTGTAAATGTGCAGTGTTCTTAAAGGGGGCATCTACAGGACAGTACCTGTAGCTTCATTATAGTAGACGCTGATTCTGTCCAGCTGAAGGTCACTGTCTCCATGGTAGGTTCCTGTTGGGTCGATCCCATGTTCATCACTGATCACCTCCCAGAACTGCAAACAACACACTGTAATTTAAAGCATCTCCCCCTTGCAATTTAATGCAATTCAGTAATCATTTCAGCAATTCATTTATGCAAGGCTAAATAAATTCTGTCCTGTAAATCAAATTTGAAACACTTTGAGAAAAGGTGTAAACTAATCTAGCACTAATCTGTAATCTGCAATGACTGGAATTTGTTCAATGAGTTTTAGCTGAGAAAGAGGCTTTATGGATGTTTAAATCATTAATTCTATGTCACTGTCCAAGTGACCTTAATCTGAAAGAGAAGCGGAGAGAGAGGGGTCAGGATGGACTTAACAAGGCTGCGAGGGAATGGAGAAAGAAAAGATTGTTCTTGGGATATATTGAAAATAATTGTTTTGAAAGAATGAGGCCAATAAACTGGAGGACGCTGACTGACAAAGTCCTAATGTGACCCTGTTCTGACACTCTCGCTTATCAAAACCTGTTACATTTCTGCTGTGTCATCACATCATATCATCCTAATATACCATGTGGACACATATGAAATCATTCGGCTTCACCTATTTGACCTTTTTAACCACAATTTAAGACAATTATCCCATAATTTTGAATTAATTTGATTTCGCCAATTATTTAATCCACCAAATCAAAGTTTTCCATAAATATGTAATTTACTCATTAATTATTCATATTTCATTTACATCTCTGCCATAGCAGGGATGGGCAGCAGCTGTTAGAGCCATCAATCCATTTGTGGATGCCTCCTGGTCCCCACCCTGACCTCAGATGAGTTCAACAGACACTGGCAATCTCATCATTTGAAAGGCATGTCAAAGTTTTATAATGGATGAAGACGATTTAACCTAATTTCTGATGCCACAGAAGGCATGCAACATCTCATGGGCAATCTTTAAAAAATATGCATCTTTAATGAAGCCATGGGTGTGAATAAATCCTTATTGCTGGTGGGTGCTTTAATCTCTGTTGATGTGGTAGAAAATCAGATTTAATAGATTAACTGGATATTTAAAATTCACAAACGTTGATAATGATAATCCTTTTGTTATAACACTTATAGTAAAAAGAAAGCTAGAAAGAAAGCTTCAAATATATTTATTAAATTCTCTACTATCATTCTCCATCGCCCCACCCTTCCCATCATCCTCCACATGACCACGGTCAATTTCTGCACATCGATAAAAAGACGAATTTAGTTCAAACTAAAAAAAAAATGCTAAAAAAAAAATTATGTTAAGGTATGCGGTTGTAATATTAGTGCCACGTGTCATGGCTCGCGCACTGGTCCTGACAGCTGTTTAAAGGGCTCGTGGCACTGATAACGGGTAGTAATGTTGATTAGTACCGAGAGAGCTGCTGTTCACATCTGATCCGCCACACCCGGTGCACTGTCAAGAATGAAAGAAAGAAAGAGGCCAGACCCCCCATTCCCCAGCGAATCCATTCACCCACAGCTCTGATTTACAGACAAAGAGATTTATAGTTGGAGTCTACGGAATTTGAGCATCATTTATTTAGATAAGCTATACAGATCGTGTTAAAGAAATTGTGGGAATGAATGAGGAGTGGGATCCGCATATTTTGGGCGTGAATAAAGGGGGTTCAGATGAGGCCAAAAAAAAAAGACAAATGGGGGAAAAAGATTACTGTACATAAACTGGGTCTATAAAACTGCTCAACGTGTTGCTATAGTGTAATGCATTATTAATAACCTTTGGTAAGGGTGCAAAGCAAAATAAAATAGGTAGCCTATGTTCTGCAAAATATGCCTAATATATTTAATATGCCGAGAAACAATAAGAAGAGCAAATATTTCTATTTTAGATTAGGTAAAGACTTTGAACTAAAATTACACGGATTCATTGCATTCTGAGACTCTTTTGCTGTTATTTAGTCGTAGCTGTTAAATATAAATGACTCACTTTTTACTCTGAAAAACTGTTCTTACCTTTGCACCGATTTGGTTTCCGCACTGACCGGCCTGGATATGAACAATCTCCCTCATTGTTAGAAATTGTGTGAGAACTTCTCAGATAAACCTGAAAAGTAACGGCGTGGCTCACTAATAATTTGGAAAAGCCGGACAAAGGATTTATATTCCTGGATTGTCTCCAGATCGAGGCTGGAATAGTAGTGGGCGGGGCACTTCTGGATGTTGAGAAACCTGATTGGTCCAAGACACATTTTAGTGACGGGGATTGGAGTGCAGACCGGAAGTATATAGGGAGTGCCAACAAGGATTGTAATTGTATGTCGAAAAAAAGAGAAAAGTCTGCTGATTGTATCCAGTTGTGCTTTTCTTATTAAGGTTTTTTAGTCACATATTTAAAGCAAATGTCCTTCCTGACTAATGCTTTTACATCCGTTTGATTTGTATCTTTACTATCTAAGACAAAATGTGCCCTTGAACAATTGTTCTTCTATTAAAATACACATGCATAGTCAGACTCATTGTTATGGTGTATAAATATGGATGTCATTCATTATTGTTTAACTTATTGTTTTGTTTTAATTAATAAAGTTTACCCACTAATATTTTCTTTATGGATACAATATGGGGATAATGAAAAAATATATATTGACTATAGAACATAAAAGAAGGTAATTGTCAAAAGCTTGCTGCATTGACAAAGCAGTATGGAGCTGATAAAAGAACCCGAGACATTGAAAAAGAGTATCAGAGAGATTGCAGACGTCCTTGAGTTAATGTATAAGAGCAGTCTAAAGGGATCATTAAAGGAATAAAGAAATATACAGGAAAAATGACCTGTTAACATGTTCCTTATGTGAAATTAGACAAACTTGGGGGGGGGGGCGCATGTCCTAAAAGGTTGAAAACCCCTGATCTAGATCATCATGTTTGTAGTGTATTCCAGGGGATTAAAACGGACAATATTTCAGACCTAGTGAGTAATAGTAAATAATAATATAGTAAGTAATTGTAAATATGTAAAGTTGCATAAGCTCATTACTTAGCCATATAAATCATTATTATGGTTTCTATGGCTAGGACCTGCAGTTCCTACAAGGATTTAAGTTTACTACTAGACTAAAAACAGTTCAAGTGAGCAGGTGCATAAGACAGCGCTAACGTTACGTCCCCACTTCAAAACACACAATATTTTACACTTTTGTGAATAATTACCTGTCAGGGTCTTTGGGAAAACGATGAAAGGCAATATTTTTACTGTCCCACTGATAGCTTTTGCAGTGGATTGCCCAACATTGCGTTCTTTTATTCCACTTTGACCTCTTTTTCGTTGTTATTCTGTCTATTTCTGTATGTCTGTGCTGTTGTTAGTGTTGGGTCGTTTTAATGTGACTCGGGAAGAACGAGTCGTCTCGGGGAGTGATTCGTTCAGTCGCGCATGCGCAACATCCTATAGGTTCTGTACTGGAATTAGTCAAGTAGTTCACGTAACATTTTAATTATATTTTGCTAAAATTAACGAAATGACTCGAAAAAAGATTTGTTCATTTTGCTGAACGAGACTCAAAGGTCCGAGTCGGTAAAATGATCCGAACTTCCCATCACTAGCTGTTGTCCAGTTGGAATTTTCACCCCAAAATGGCGGCCGTGCTACCGAAGCGCCACCTAGTGGCTGTTACCATAGACCGTATAAAATCATGGACGTAGTGTCCGTGACGTCACCCGTAGATTTCCGAAGAGCGTTTTTGAAGCTCAAAATTGGGCGGAGGCGGCCGTCGCCATCTTGGCAGCGCGTCACCGCGCGTCACTCCAAGATAATCGAAAATGGGCAAAGAGGCGGAAGCAGGTTGCTGAAGCCACGCCCACCTAGCTTGACGGTGGTGACAGCAGCGGCAATCCACCTGTCACTCAAGTTACCCAAAATGCATCAGAGTTTCGCCTCTTGGGCTGCGTTCCAGTCCCCGGTCTTCTATACTCTTTGGTAATACCTTGGCTGAGTTCCAGTTCACTTTTAGACACGCACTGGCAAACTTCCCTAAGCACTTACCCTCGGGGGAATCCCCGCTGCCATTTTGACGTGCGTTCCACTTAGTCAAGTGGACGAGGGAAGTTTACATGGACATACCCTTGACCCCTCGATTTTGACCGAGGGAGCGAGTCTGCTTCATATGCACACTTCAGGCCGCTCCATAGACCACAATGCAACACGACTATGACGTCATCGCAGATCGCGTTTAATTTATCCCCACCCCAAACAACTCTATAATATATAAAAAAAAATTTTTTTACATTTATAACAGCCCAAACATACCTATATAC